AAGAGAAGAGTTAGGAAGAGAGTTATTCTTCAACCAAGTCGAAAACCAACCCTTTAAATACATTTTCGAGTAGTACGGTTTAATTTATTAGACTATTTCAAATGGTTGCTTCCAACTTCTTAAATTCGATCCATTTGTTAACGAAACAACTGTTTGATTTTTTCATACATCGTTCATGTTTTCTCTTGATCGTATATCTTAAATTGGTCGCGTTTACAATCATTTTGACATTCGTTACATTAAGGTTATTTTGATTATATCGAGAGATATGGTGAAGAGAAGAATTAGAAAGAGAGTTATTCTTCAACCAAGTCGAAAACCAACCCTTTAAATACATTTTCGAGTAGTATGATTTAATTTATTAGAATATTTCAAATGGTTGCTTCCAACTTCTTATATTCGAACCATTTGTTAATGAAACAATTGTTCGTGAAGTGATTGTTGACAAAATGAATCAAACTCACATTAAATGTTTTATTTTTAAATTCACGATTTTAATTGGCCAATCAATCAATATTGCGTAGGTTAAAATTTTGTGTTGCCAGAACGGTCTCTCCGTTGTATAATAATAACGAACAATTATTTCATGTGGCCGACTGTAGAAGGTTGAGTTCTGTGCGCTGAAATGACCCGAGAGGAATTTCTCCACAAAAAAATAACAAAAAAAAAAGTTTGGACGGCTGTCATATTTATATGTTTCGAATTTAATAAAATAGACTATTGTCTTGGCCCGAGTGATGTCATTTTTTTGCTCTTTGCGACGAAGACAAAAAACCCAACTTATTTGAATTTTTATTCTCGCGTAGCACGGTATGTGTGTTGTGTAATACGAAAAGCAAAAGCTCAATTGCGTTCTCAGTTATAAGCTTGTTTAATATTATTAGGCTTTTTTTTCTATATAATAAAAAAAAAATTTATAATTCTAAAGAATGATGGTGTGAATGTTAATAAGTAAGTTGTAAGTTGTTAGGAGCAAAAAATATATTTGATCGGCTTTTTCACATCAGTTGATCATGGGTGGCTAGAAAAGGACAGGGGACAGGCATTAACCACAATTACCTGTCTGTATCCTGTCCTTTTCTAGTCACCCGATTTATATCGTTGTAGTCAAGATGATTTAAATCGCAGAAACATTACATCAATAATGTAATATCATCAACAAAATCCTTGTAGTTTAACATACAAAATTCAATTGGTTCATGGATGTAATCCGCTTGAATTGGAATGGAGATTGTATGTGAATTTGAAATCTGTCAATTTGAAATTCACGTGCATGAAATTCAAATTAGCCAATCAGAATTTTATATCCAAACACCACCCCAAAATTTAATTATTACAACATATGGAGTCATCTGAAAGCATTATATTCAACGCTAGACACATAGATTAGATATGTTCTTGATGGTGAAAATTATTGTTCAGTTGATTGTCGTCTTTCTTGTTTGCCTGTTTTTTGGTAGTGGTAATGATATTTTATGGTAATAATATTATTAGTAATTCGTCTATCCACTTATAATAGTAGATGGCGGTAAATTTGATGAATTAGTAATTGCCATCGTTGTTGTTTCATCTAATTTAATTTTTTCGTTGGTGGTTTTTTAATTAAAAAATTCTGCGAGTTTTGAGAGAATTTTTGATAATATTCATTGCAATAATGAAGGGAGTGAGCTTCATGGAGAAATATTCCACATTGTTATTTAATTGAATCAATAATTCTAAAACTGGGATCAACAAAAACTCATTTTGCTTTTTGCATGTTGGACAAAATAAGGCAACTACATAAACAGTTTTGGAAGAGAATTTTTATATTTGATAAAAATTTATTGAAAATGATCAAGCCAATAACATCAAAAAGAAGAAAACCAAGAGTGAAAGAGATATGGACCACAAAATTGAAGAACAAATTAAAGCAAAATATTGCAAACATTCGAACTACATTTTGACAACATCTGAGACGGTTAACAGTTATGAACAAATTCTTCATTATTAATAGCATGAAATATACATTACTATATCATCAAGGCATAAAAAATAATCTATTCCCCGAAGGAAAGTACAAAGTCATAATAAATTTTTTCTTTCATCTTAAATCCTTTTACCTCTGGGTAATTAATGACATCCACCCTATCTTCAAAATTTTAAAGAATTCACAAAGAGACATCAACAATGGTTAAACATTTGCAAAATATGCCATTTTATCAAAAACTTGGTCCTTGATTTAACTAAAAAGGTGCTTTTTACTGCATGTTTAACCTAAATCAAATTGAATTTTTTACCTGTAAAAAGTGCACTTGGAAAATTACAAAGTAACCCGTCCCAAATTTTAATAGTAAACTGATGTCACGTCATGAATCAATCTCACCAGTAAAGTTCTCTACTCTAAACAATTACATATCTATCAATTCTTAAGAAAAAGGAGGGCTCAACAAAGAAAATATTGAAAATGTAAATACAATACTGAATTGAAGACATTCGCTAAAACCAACAGAATGATGATTATGGTATGGTTTTATTTTTCGTATATATATGTAATATTTTACTTTTTTTTTTAATTTGTTAACTACTATGGTAATGATCATCTTCTAAATAAACTTGACCAATAGTAATAGAAAGTTATAAAAAACAAATTTATTCACGCGATTGAAAAAAAAACAAAAAATTATAGAAAATAAATGGAAAGAGAAACACCAAAAATTCAAATAGAAAGTAAAAGAGATATAGATTACGTGAAACATAATGTAACAACTTCTGTTTTTGAAAATATAAAGAGGCATATTGATATTGATAGCGATAATGATTATGAGAAGGATTATTTAAATAAAAATGTTTCTATACTTCTTGAAGAGGTGTAGTGTTATTAGCATCATCATTGTTATATTTAGTTTATTTATTACATAATATTATTTATTTGTCTAAATATTTTTTTAAAAAAAAAAGTGGATACGCAATATATTTTCAAATGCTGCACCTAACATTCAAATTAATGGAAGTGATTTTGATCCTGAAAATCAAGAATATTCAGGTTAGTTATCAATTAATTGTGATTACACTATAAGTTTTCTTAATAATAAAATAACAAAAAGATAAAATGTTGTAGATACAGAATCATTCAATGACAATCTCTTCCAGAATGTTCAAAGTTTTCAAGCACAAGTTGAGAATAAGATTTTAAACATTGTTGAACGACGAAAAAATATTCCTGGAAATTCAGATAATTTGGTTAAGCAAATCTTAAAAATCCAGTCAAATCCAATAGATGCTATCGATTTTAATATTAATAATAATACTAATAATATTCATAACCAATTACAATCAACAAGTGAATTATTTGGTAATTATTGATTTATTATATATTAATTAATATATTATACTTAAACTTTAAAATAATCATATAGTTAATAGATTTATACTTATTATTTATTGATTAGAAATAGTACACCCAACTTATAATAAAGGCCTTGAAATAATGTCCAGCTTGAAAAAAGTAATTAAATTTCTTTATTCATTTTTTTAAAGAAAATATTTGAATTTTCTAATTATATTTATTAATTAATTAATTATCAACATTTATCCATCCTTCCTTACTAAACAATCAACCTATTTATTAGTCTGTTCCCAAAAATTTAGCAAAACTTGTACATGCAGAAGATAAAATGTTTCTTGAATAAATAAATAATTATCAGTTCAGATAAATATTATACAAGTAGTAATAAATCCAAATACTAGTTTGAGGAAGCTTCTTATATCATCTTCATTTACTTTTTTTTGTATCTATTCTATGTATAGCAATGAAATGAGGCATGCTGCAATAATACTAGACAAAGTGAACATTTGTTTTTCAGGGTTTAAAAATTGGTATAATTTTTTTTTTCTATCAATAATTATATCCTAACTAAATCAATTTATATTATTGATGAAGAGGCTGACACATTATAACTAATTAATTGGTAACACAATTTATTTAGGAAAGAAGTTTGTGATGATTGTCATATAAAAAATGTATGAATTCTACACATTCAAGATTGAAACAAGGTAAATAAGCATCATAATCCCACCTTATATTGGAACATTACCAGTTCACTTACTTTTAAGCAAAAAATCAAATAACAAATCCTTCAATGATCATTGTTAATTTGTGATCCTTTTAAGAAGGCAAAGGATTTTGATAGTGATCGGGATGTATTCGCAACATTTTATAGTAAAAATCATTCAGTTTGCTTCACACCATTATTGTAACATGATGTTCCACATATCAATTAAAAAAAATTGTCCAAGCTGATTTTTTGCTATTGCAAAAATGTGCAGAGATTATGAGTAAAATAACTTATACTGTATGTATGGTGCAAAAGATGAAAAACTTTTTGGTATATTTCAATGGTTTTTTTTATAAATTATTCTACACTTTTTAATTCAATAATTATTGTTACTATGGCACATATAGCCAACAAGTGGAATTATTATTCATGACTATTTGGCAAGGAATCCAGTCATAAGGACTATTAACACAAGAAAGAAATCAAATATATATATAGTTTTCTTTTGTATGATGATGTTTCCATATGTTTCAAGGAAGCTGCCATATTATCATGCACAGTAAAGATATGATCTTTATTATTTCTTTGTACCTTTGTAGCAACAAATTACTAACAAGAAACAAATAATATTTTTAGATGATAGATATGGTATCGCTTTTATAAATATAAATGAAAGAAGTGGGTAGGGGAACCACATGTTATTTTATATGTCACAATGACTTTTTCACGTGTAATATTTTAATTATATAAACTCGATAGAAAAAAAAATTAATAAATAAAAATAATCTTTGCTTTATAACTAATTAATTTATCAACAAGAATCTATAAAATTTAAAGTTGGTTAGTTGTATTTTGGATTATAAAATCATTGCGAATTAAAAAAGATTGCGAATTAAAAAAACAATCAATATTTTCATCCACAACATTAAAAAAATGCTTGCTTTCAATACTGAACTTTTTTGTGGTACTCTCGCTTGGTTTCTTATTTCATTATAGAACTTACAAAAATCAATTCAATATTATATAAATCAAAGTTGATCAAATAATTAATAAAAAAGAACCAAGAAAATGCCAATTCAAAAATAAAACAAACTTACTGGTGATAAAAAATATCCCCAAGAAATTGAAAGTCTACAGAGTGATTTGATAAAAAGATTGATTGGATTCTAATTTTTTTCTTTAATTAAATGGCCATTAAATTTGTCAATTACTTGAAGTAGGAAAAGAGTTTTTGCTTCCATAATAAAAAACTTTCACCAATCCTAGAAAGAAAATAATAGAAGCAGCCCAGCGGTGGATTAATAAAATAAAGAAGGAAGAGATAGAAAATCGAAGATGACAAAGATGATGAAAACAAATAGTTATCAAAAAGTAGCGTTAGATTTTGTCAGTGCCCAAAGAATAGGTAATATTCACAATGTCTTTGGGTCTGAGTATTTCTGGGTCTGAGTATTTCAAGCTCTGACGATTTTTTAACTTATATTTTTTCTACAATTTTAAAATTTAAAAAATATTTGTCTCGTGAAAATAAATTCATAATAATATGCCACAGTCCAAATTATGCATAGAAATCACAGTATGATAAAAATATTATTAACTTATCAGTATGCTAATTAATACCTTGATTATTTTTTTAAAGAATAATCAGATTCTGATATTTGCTGAATACCCCATTACCCAATTTGGCATCATTTGACCAGTAAAGAGAGAGCCAATAGATTATATATAAGCAAAGAAATATGGGAGCACAAAAGAATTTTAAATCATGCACAAACATAACAGCTTGATAGCTTGATTGACACAGTGGTGCCATCTTGCAATTTTTTTATTGTATATTTTAAATATAATTAATCATATGTCTTTAATAAAACAAACATGACTTAGCTATTTAATCACTTTCTTGCATATGATGCCTGCCTACCCAGATCTCTGGAGTTCACAAGAATAAATAAATAGGGAGGGTCAAAAAAAAGATTATAGCTCCCATTGTATAGATAGTTCCTTAAAAATCACAAATAAATCTGATGTTGATCACAGGCGTCAGATTTAATTAAATTTTCCTATCACAAGCATGCAAGACGTACAATTAAGTGCAATTCAGCACTATGGAATTTTTTTCCCACAGGTGAAGCGGACTTAAACATGTTTGAAGGCTTTGGACAAAACTTTCCCTTATTATCCCCTCAGACCAGGCTTGACTGTTACCATATTGGCATTGGTAATGATGAGGATCAGCATTTGTGTGATGATTGCTTTGTGTTATACCTCTCTCACTAAAATAAAGTTGGTGTCTGCAACTCTGCAACTCAGGAGTTTGCAACTTGGGTTGCTGTCTTGTTGGCAGCACGCCTCTCACCAACAACCCTATCCCATTTAAATTACAAGTTCAGTTGGTCAAACAAAAATTAAAGAAAAACATAGTATTTATGGGAATGTTTAATTTGAACAAAACATACCAAAATCTGAACCATTTTATGACTTTTTTCTTATTGGCCATATTGCTGACAAAGATGCATATAATCATGCAATAATTTTAACCTACAGGACAGAGGACTGATTGGACAAAAACCCACCCAGTGCCTTACCCAAAATTATAAATTGGTTAGTATCAGAGAAACAATTTAGGAAAATGATTATACAAACAAACACTATTTTACAACTTTCCTTCTAACATCAAAACCCAAATGCAATTTCAGAGTTACCAACCCTGCTCTGAATTGTAACCTCTTGTGCTTGAAATGAGTTGCAGATTCTCATCGCTTTGATGTTTATATAGCACTAAAATTCATCAACAGAATTGCGACTTGATCACAGAGCCATCCTTACCCTAAAGGTAGATCGTTGCAGGCGACTTTTCAGCCAGCATGGCAGCAGCCTTCTCTGGTCTGGGAAGATTAGTGAAGGTGTCATTGACAATTGGTGCAGTCTCGGTAAACCCCAGGGCCATGCGCCCCCCCCCTAGAATTTGATTGCATCATCATATCATCATGGAAATCTTGGTCAAATTAGCCTTTGTACATGAGGAATACATGAGAATGACTGTAAAGTGTTCAAGGTAGTGTGCATGCTTCAACGTCTGTAAATTCCCAATAATCAAATGTTGCATACTTGAATTGTTTCATATTGAAATGTTTCTTTTTCAATATTGTGCTGCCTTGACATCTTGTAATTATAATGATATTAATATTGTTGATTACAATTATGCAAAGAAAAAAATGATACCAATCTTGATAAGAATCTTATAATTACCCAACAAGATCTACCCACGTTTTTGATTTCAATTAAAATATTTATAAACTAAAAGACATATCAATACAAATAAAAAATAGTATCTCTGGTTAGTTATTAACACGTCTTCTTTAGGAGACTCACGTTTTGTCATTGAAAAATAAATTGTTTTTCTAAGAAAAAAAATCAATTCATGTCAACAAAAAAGACCGTCCTGTATAAGGAAAGGATTTTCACAATTGATTTCATTTTTTTTTATATGGGGCATGCTGCAACAAAACCAGACAAAGTGAACATTGATATTTTGAAAAAGGAACAAGGAGAAAAAATTGCGCCTTATGTTTTCAAAATAAATGATGTTCAGACACTGGAATCTTATCTGAGGAAAGAAAGTACGTACACAGTGGGTCTCGATTTAACGGACCTCGATTTAGCGGATTTAGGGGTTTAACGGATAAATTTTCAAAACCAAAT